GGGACACACCAAGATAATCCAGATAATCTCCCTGTTATAAAATCAGCAGGTTGGCAAACTTAGTTTCATCTGCAGTCTTAATCTTCCTTTGTCATGTAACAGAACATAGTCACAGGTTCCAGTGATTATCATGTGGACATCTTTTGGATGCCATTATTCTGCCTACCACAAACTGTTACAAAATTAGCTATCGTCATGTGCAGCTGGGACTCAGTCTTGCTGGAGAACTATAAAACATGCTTCAGAGTGATTCCGCTTCACGGTCAAGGGAGCTGGGGTATTTATCCTTCAAATCTACTCCATCAATGATTGAGGACTGCTACTAAGGGTATTAGCAGCATGGTAGTGGCCAGCCTTGGCCAAGAGGGGTCTGGTAGCTGGAGAAATGTCATTTGCAAGTAGTTGTAGTTGCTTACATTTGGAAACTGTCAGATTGGTGTGATTGAAAGCGGCATGTTGAAGAAAGCACATGGGCAGGTATCAACAAACACTATTGCAGTGAAGCACCGTTATTAGAATTAAGTGAAAATTCTAGGTTTGTAGTCAACCAAATCCATTAATACTATGCCGGGCTTCCGGTGCATAGTTTCCCTTGGTGTTCAGATACTTGGAATTGATTTTCCCTATATTTAAGATTAAATTTATATATACTTCCATTAAATTAAAGGGTTTTGGCCAGTGTGGTGGTGCGGTGAGTTAAGCCACCTGCTGCAATTTTGGCATCCCATTTGGGCACCAGTTTGAGTCCTGGCTGCTGCACTTCAAATCCAGCTCCTTGCTACTGGCCTGGGAAAATCAGCCCAAGTGTTTAGTGCCCTGATATCCACATGGAAGGCCCGGACAAAGCTCCTGGCTTCAGCCTGGCTCAGCCCTGGCAGTTGTAGCCATCTGGGGAGTGAACCAGCAGATGGAACCTCAATATCTGTGTGTGTGTGTGTGTGTGTGTCTCATTGTAACTCTGCCTTTAAAATAAATAAACCTCGAAAAACAAAAGATTAAGCCAGATATTCTCTAAGCTCCCTTCAGACTAAAAGAAGACAAAGAATTCTTAGATTTGGCTTATCATTAGCAATTTAACTGAACTTAATGTAGTTTTGTAGCTGGAGACTTGGAAATAGTCTGGTTAGATTTTGAAGTGATTAAGTGATGTATTTATTTAAGTCCATGATCACAGTTTTCTGTCATAAAAGGCAAAATTGTAAAAAATTAGGAATTGTTAATGCCGTGATTTCTATAGGCTGAGCCATAGTTGATATACTTGAATGGGAGAGAGATTGCGTTTTCTTCAGAGTTATGTGCCCTCACTAAAGACATCCAACCTCTATTAAGATATCCACTCAATGAATTAGCTGTTAAGTATCATTTGGGTACTTGACATTGAAAATATGGCGATCTTAGAGACATGAGAATCATATTCCATTGAGATCGCTTCCCACACATTCATCTCTTCTGTGTTAATCAACGAATAGCCTTCAGAACCAAGGGACTCCTGCTGCTCAACGCTGGTCAGCTCAGCCCTCACCTGAGTGTCAGGTCTAATTATGGGGACATGAATAACCTGAATTGTTTGCAAAGGAGAGAATCAGGATTGTAAACAGGCAAAGGCAACCTTTCTCCAAATGCACGTTCCCTGAAATAGTAACAGAGGTAAATCTTCCTTGCCTTTTCTGTTTTAGAGCATGCCAATACTCATCAGCCTACAAGTTCCCAAGAAGTTCTGTAAGAAAGAAACCTGCTTAAATATGTGCAACCCAGATTCTTGAATTCGCAGTTTCTCTTTGGGGAAATTCCGGTCTAGTGTTCACAAGTGAAGAGCAAGAATTGGAAGAACTTGGGAACACTTGAGAAGGAACCTCATGACTGCCATTTACTTTTGAAGGAAGGTTGAGGTGGCACGATGATTTACTGTATTCCAGGGTTGGAAGATGTTCAACTAGAGACAACACTCAGCCAATAGGTGGAAGACCCAGGAAAGAAATTTCAGATCAATGTTAGACAGTGCTGTAAGAGAGAACGGGTTACCTCAGAAAGGGATAAACTCTTGGGTATTAGAAATACCCAAGCAGAAGTCTTATGGCCATGTGAGTGGGTTTTTTTTAATAGGTGGGGCTCAGGCCACTAGTAGGGACCTAAACTAGATGACCTTAAAGCCAATCCCAACTCCTAGATTCTGAAGGGCTTATTATTTAAGAATAGAGTAGTCCATATATGGTAACAGAGTGAGATTATAGTGAGCTCAGATGGCAGTATAGTTGTTTAATTGCTGATAGTGAATCCTCTGCACATATATGAAACCTTTCTGGTAGTAAGAACAAAAGAGAAACTGAATAGGTTGTACAATTATCACCTTCCACATTTGATTTTTAGAAGGTTAGATCTTCAGTGTAGGAAGCCTTACAGTTTCTGAAAAGCCCGTCAAGTTTTAAAAGTCACACAAATTTATTTTTTAAATGGCATGCTAATTTAAATAAAAGTCCGTTGATAAAATGGAGGCTGTGAATTTAATATTATGAAACATTATCAATCTTAGACATAGTCATATAAAATTACTTTTTCTTTGTCTCTCATCCAAAAGATTATGATTCTGAAACCAAGAATTGAAATTTACAATGATTCAATCATTTTCTGAATTCTCTATTACCCATTGCAAATAGGAAGCTTGTTGGAGCAGTTCCTCTTAAGGGACATTTATTGCAGAGTGGTTTGTATAAACTCCCATTGTTTATCCTTAAACTCAGCCAGTCAACAGCATTGACTGAAGGTTGTATGGGCCTGAGTACTTATTCTTAGGACTGAGAAACTTGGAAAAACTAAGTGTTGCAGGCTGCACAATGATAGCTACTGCTGCAAAAATTAGCACTATGTAAAATTACAAGTTTGTCCCACACTGCTATGATAACTCTATGATTGAAATGCATAATTTTACTTCTTTAATGAAGGTTTGCCATGATGGAAAAACAGTAGGAAGCATTTTTTCAAATGCAAATTACCTTGCAGCAAAGAAATAACAAAGGAAAGAATTGCCACCAAGGGGAAAAATTAAATCTTACAGCACTTCCTTGGGTATAGTTGAGACAAACAATTAGCATGTTAAGGATCATTATGTCCTGTAATAATATGTTGTTTCAAAAATTTCCGTTCCTTCCAGTTCTGGGTCCTAGCCATTTACTGGATGACTTTGATATTGCATGTCAAGAACTAAGTGGGAAGTATTTTTGGAATAATTGCAAATCTCATGAAGAATCCTCAGAATGATTCTAGGTTGTCTGTAATCTTCATCCACATGTTAAATAACTAAAATGAGTTACATATAAATTTGTCCCTTGCATTGAATGGTGAAGATAGTTAATCAGTTAGTACCTGTGTACTACGTATAGAGAATTCTGAAGTGAACAAGTAGTTAGGAGTTAGGCCTTCACGCTCTTTAGAGTTGAGAGGGAAAATCCAAGATGTATACAAATGGAAGCCCCACAATTGATTTTTTCGTGTGTGTGTGTGTGTATACATATATATATATATATATATATTTTAAATATTTATTTACTTGAAAGGCAGAATTAGAGAGTCAGAGGCAGAGAGAGAGAGAGAGAGGTCTTCCATCCACTGGTTCACTCCCCAAATGGTCGCAACGGCAGGAGCTGGGCTGATCCAAAGCCAGGAGCCAGGAGCTTCCTCCAGGTCTCCCACGCAGGTGCAGGGACCCAAGGACTTGGGCCATCTTCTACTGCTTTTGCAGGCCATAGCTGAGAGCTGGATCAGAAGCGGAGCAGCCGGGACTCAAACCAGTGCCCATATGGGATGTTGGCATTGCAGGCAGCAGCTTTACAGGCTGCACCACAGTGCCAGCTCCCATATATTATCAATAGGCTTTGTTTCAGTTGTATTTTGCTACATGACAAAGTACCACCAAACAACCATTTATTCTCTCCTGATTCTGCCACTTGGGCAGGATGGAGCTGATGTATGCTTTCTTGGCTCTGTTTGGGGTTGGCGAGAGCAGTCTTACTAGGGCTAGAGCATCTAAGATGAATTCACTCATTGGGCTGGCTCCCATGAACAAAGTCTGGCAGGACCTCTGTCTTCCTCCAGAGTTTCTCAACTTTTGGGGTCTCTCACTAGCTTCACTTGGCCTCTTTGCTTCTAGCTGGGTAGTCAAGCTTCCATTACAGCAGACTTCTAAAAGGGTAGAACATGGAAGCTATCCAGTTTCTTATGGTCTAGCCCCAGAAGTCACACTCAGCCACTTCACAGCCATTTTCAAGGCCAGTCCAGATTCAAGAGCAGGACCACAGATTGCCTCGTGCTGGGAGGAGGGAGCATGTGCAATCAGGGATGGGTGGAATTGTTGGTGGGCTCCTCTCTAGATAATCTCTCACATCCTTTCCAGAGGTGAAGAGAAATAACATAACACCCTTTCCAAATCTGATTAAGCCCTCACAGTCTTGCTATTCAGTTGTCAGCTTCTTTGCCACAGAAACAGAGGAACGTGACTACCTTTGAAAACAGAGTGATTCCTTTCAATCTCTGCTCTATTCTGTTTTTATGACTACATTTCGAAAACAATTTAACTTCCGAGATTTTGGTGACTTCGCACCAAGTTTTCAGATAGAAAAATCAATGGTATATTTACTGATGATCTTTTCAAGCCTTATGTTAGGTGTTCATAATATAAAATATAGCTAGAGCAGATATAGAATCGGGAATGTGAGGATTGGAAGGGACTTTGGAAATCATTTCTTTCATAGCTCTAGTTTCACAGAGTAGGACATTAAGTCCCTTACATGGTTGTAATGACGGTGTTAGAATTTATGTTTGCTTTGTGCATATCAATTAGAAGGGTATGTTTAGATTAGTTTTTTATAGTTTTATGAGCATAGTTATGACATTGTTATTATGGTCAGTAGAAAACAAATTAGCTTGGCTTTTCACTGAAAAAATAAGAGATTATGCTCTGAGAGTCATGCTTGTAATTTTCTCCAAATTATGTGCTCATCCCATAGATCTCTGAGTTATGGTGCTATAGGAGTAATTGTTGGACATGAATTTACACATGGATTTGATAATAATGGTAAGTATTAGTTCATTTTATATGCTGCTGCTTTTATAACAATGTGGACTATATGGATGTTAATTGTTAACTTTTTATAGTGGCATCATCATGGAGTGAAGATTATAAAAGGCAATATGATTGCTGATTGAAAACTTCCCAGTATCTTCCTGTGATAGCTTGCAACCAATAAACAGTTGTTCCCATTGGTAATGGGGTAGAATGAAAAAACAAAAGATCGTGTAATTTTGCTGAAATTACCTTTGCATTTAGATCAGGATTGCTGTAGCCGCCACAGTAGGAGCAGGGATGACTTTCCAGCTTCCCCCACTTTGTCATTGCTTTATTCACCAGCCTGAGATGTTCTCCCCAGAGGTGTGAACTCAGCCCCAGTGATGATTGTAGGCACTGAGCTGCCAAGTCAGGCTGCTGGAGCCTGGCTGAATGGTTCCTTTACAGGATTGCAAGGATTATGCAATGCTTAATCTCCATTTTCCTTTATATTGGCATATATTCAAAATATTTTTAAAGGCTATACTTTCCTAATAGTGCAGAATGTAGAATGCACAGTGTATCCTGATGACATATAAGCAAGAGAGTAGATAATGAACTGAACTAAAGGAATGATTACCTTTGAGAGTGTTCATTGTTTTAAAATGTTTAATTTGAAAAAAATTATTAAAAGTTCTATTTACTCCTCATTTTTAATCAGCACTTTTCTCCCTTAACTGTGGAGCACTATTGGAAAGCCACTAGAGATCTCAGAAACTTATGAATTAGCAGCAAATTACTATCTCGTCCAAACACAATGGTTTGCAGGCAGATTCAGCAACTCAGGTGGCCGAAGGCAACACTATATATAAAATGACCACTTTCAGAGGCTGGCGCCGTGGCACAGTAGGTTAATCCTTTGCCTTCGACGCCGGCATCCCATATGGGCACCGGTTCCAGTCCTGGCTGCTCCTCTTCCCATCCAGCTCTCTGCTATGGCCTGGGAAAGCAGTAGAAGATGGTCCAAGTCCTTGGGTCCCTGCACTCATGTGGGAGACCCAGAAGAAGCTCCTGGCTCCTGGTTCCTGGCTTGGGATTGGTGTAGCTACGGCCATTGTGGCCATTTGGGGAGTGAACCATCAGATGGAAGACCTCTCTCTGTCTCTCCCTCTCTGTCTGTAACTCTACCTCTCAAATAAATAAATAAAATCTTAAAAAAAGAGAAAGTGACCACTTTCTTCCTTGCCTGCAGTGTCTCTGACATGTTTTCCTGGTTGCCTACTCCGTGGCCAGAGGCCCTTCTAGTTTGTCTCCCTCTAGATGGTTCTTCCTGAACTCCCATCAGCCCTTCTTGAATCACTTAGGTGTTTTTGTCTCTGGCCTCCCCCTCCCTCTTGAAATGTGTCTGCCTTGTAGTCATCTGACTCCCTAGAGCTCGACTTGCTGCCTTTGGAAGTTTGGCGTTTCTGAAGGGGAGGGTCTTAACTAAGCAACAAAAGCTGGTGGTGGTCTTTTGGCTCTGGCATTTTCTTCCTAGGAAATTTAGGTACAGTTTTCTCCCAGAACCTTTTAGAAGACTTCCGGAATCCCTCTCAAAGGACGGGATGTAATGATGGTAATTTCACTCTGTAACCAGTATTTAGAACACTGTGTTGCACATATAAGTACATGCCCAGTGACCACGTAATGATTGCTTACTGGGTAGAAGACAGTGAGACTGTATTATCCCAGGGGGTTGTGTTGGTATCCTGCAGCCTTACAGAGCTTTGGGTTGTTTCAGTTAATGCCATTGCTTAGGAGATTTTCTTTTCTTTTTTTTTAAATTTTATTCATTCATTTGAAAGGCAGAGTTACAGAGAAGGAGAGAGAGAGAGAGGGAGAGAGAGAGAGAGAGAGAGAGATCCATCTTCCATCGTTGGTTCACTCTCCAATTGGCCGCAAAGGCCAGAGCTGCACTAATGTGAAGCCAGGAGCTTTTTCCAGGTCTCCCATGTGGGTGCAGGGCTCCAAGGACTTGGGCCATCTTCTACTGCTTTCCCAGGACATAGCAGAGAGCTGGATCAGAAGTGGAACAGCCAGGACTCGAACCAGTGTCCACATGGGATGCTGACACTGCAGCCTAGGGCTTTAACCTGCTACGCCACAGCACCAGCCACAGAAGATTTTCTTAAAGGCTCAATGAAGAGTTCTCTGCATCATTAAATTTAAACTGTGTTTCTGATTCCAGTAGTAACTTTGAACACAGAAGATCGTCTAGATGAACCCAAATTTTTGTTTTTTAAAGGGTATAGAAAAAGTGAAGAGTAAGCATGTGGCAAGAATGTGTAACTAAATGTTTTTTCATTACGTTTTGGAGATTTCCATTCTTGTTGCAAGTTCTCTTTTTGAGCAATCTTCCTTATCTAAGCAGGACAGATGGGTCTCCATCCACACTGAGGGCTGTAGAATGATTCATAACAGAAGTTTTATGTGTCCCTCGACTCCTGGCAACTTGGAAGAAACAGGTTCCTATTGGGCTGAGTCAGGATGTGTGGTGGCAGCGTGTGGATGACTCACCAGGGCCATTCCTTTGGATCATTTGGAATTTCACTGGTAGTAGTTCTCTGACAACCTCCATGGATTTTCTGAATGAAGCCATTTCATTTCACAATCCAGAGAACACTTGGGGTCAGGTCAGGTGAATACCTAAGATTGGATAAGTTTACTGCATAATTTCATTTTTAAAATGCCCTTTGTTCCTTAGAAGGAAAGAACTGCCTCAACCCTCTTTCTCCTTTCCCCCCTTTTAACAATTAACCTGTGATGTTGGAGAGAATGTAGGAGTTGGCTTCAGGAAGAGAGGTTTCCTGCTGTTGTGACTGCTTTTTGAAGGCTTGTCAAGGTGAGGGGAAGGAAAGATAAAGACTTTAGTTTCTAAATAACAGAAATGCCTTTTAACTTTGTTTTTTGCTAGGTAGAAAATATGATAAAAATGGAAACCTAGATCCTTGGTGGTCTATGGACTCAGAAGAAAAGTTTAAAGAAAAAACGAAGTGCATGATTAACCAGTATAGCAATTATTATTGGAAGGATGCTGGCTTAAATGTGAGTACAACTGGGCGAGGGAGCATCTTGTGGGTAATTTTTCCTCATTTGGGCATTTGTTTGCTTTAAACCATTGGTTTCCAAAGTGTGCCTCTGAGATCAACAGCATCGATCTTCCCTGGGAAGTTGTTGGAAATGTAAATTATAATTTATCTCTGTTTTCTCAATATATAATAATTGTACATCTTGATGCAGTACAGTGTGATAGTTCAACCCACGTATATGGCATGTACTGATCAAATCGAAGTTATTAGCATTTTCATTTCCTTATTTCTTTATGGTTGGAGACTTCGAGCTCTGCTTTTCTAGGTCTTCATGAAACATAGACTGTGTTATTGTGAGCTATCCTCACCATATTGTGCTGTGGCACATTAGGAATCAGTCCTACTATCTAACTGTGTTCTGTGCCCCTTTCCTAGCCTTCCAAGACTCTGGCAATCACTATTCTGCATTCAGATAGACTTCATTTTATCATCCAGATATGAGACAGAAAATGCAATGTTTGTCTTTCTGTGTCTGGCTTATTTCACTTAACATAATGTCCTTCGGTTTCATCCATTTTGATGCAAATAATGAGATTTAATTCTTTTTGTGGCTGAAGAATATTCCATTGTGTACACATGCCACATTTTCTTTATCTATTCAACCATTGATGGACATCTAGGTTTATTCCAAATCTTGGCTATTGTGAATAGTGCTACAATGAACTGGAAGTGAAGATCTCTTTCACATGCTGATATCATTTCCTTCAGAGATATACCCTGATATTGGGTCATATGGTAGATTTATTTTTCGTTTTTTTTTTTTTTTCTTTGAGAAACCTGTGTACTGTTCTCTGTGATGGCTGTACTAATTTACATTCCCATCAGTATGTTCCCTTTTGTCTGTATCCTCACCAGCATTTGTTGATTGTTTCTTTTTTTTTAAAGATCTATTTACATATTTGAAAGTCAGAGTTCCAGAGAGAGGGAGAGACAAGGAGGGAGAGATCTTCCACCTGCTGGTTTACTCCCTAAATGGCCACTAATGGCTGGGGCTGGGCCAGGCCAAAACCACGAGCTGGGAGCTTCTTCCAGGTCTCCCGCATGGATAGCAGGGATCCAAGCACTTGGACCATCTTCCACTGCTTTTCCCAGGCCATTAGCAGGGTACTAGATCAGAAGTGGAGCAGCTGGGACACGGAGCCGTGTCCATATGGGATGCCAGTGTCACAAGCAGCAGCTTAACCTGCTGTGCCACAATGCTGGCCCCTAATTGTTTGTTTTTATTAATAGCCATTCTAACTGGGGTGAGGTGATAACTCATTGTGGTTTTGATTTGCATTTCCCTGATGGCTACAGGTATTGAAAATTTTTTGTATATATTCATCGACTATGTTTCTTCTTTTGAGAAATATTTACTCAGATCATTTGCTCATTTTGCTGGCTTTGTGGAATAGCAGATAAAGGTGCCACCTGTGACACTGGCCTCCCATATGGGTACTGGTTCATGTACTACCTGCTCCATTTCCATCCTGGCTCCCTGCTGATGTCCTGGAAAAAGCAGCAGAAGATGACCCAAGTGTTTGGGCCCCTGCACCCATGTGGGAGACCTGTAATAAGCTCTTGGCTTCATGCTTTGGCCTGGCCCAGTGCCAGCCATTGTGTCCATCTGGCAAGTGAACCAGCAGATAGAATCAATCTCTCTCTCCCTCTCCCTCTCCCCCTCCCTCCCTCCTTCCTTTTGTCTGTCTGTCTGTCTCTCTCTCATCTCTGTCTCTAACCCTGCCTTTCAAAATAAATAAATAAATGTTAAAAAATAGTACAACTGGGTGATTATTTTTCTGTTGACTTTTTTGGATTCATGGTAAATTCTGGAAAGCAATCCTTTGATGAATGATTTGTAGATAAACTCTTCCATTCAATAGGTTGTCTCTTTACTCTGTTGATTGTCTGCTTTGTTGTTAATCAGCTTCTTAATTTGATTTAATCCCATATGTCTAGTTTTGCTTTCCTTGCTTGTGCTTGGGAAATCAAATCCAAGAAAACACTACCCAAGACCAGTGTTGGAGAGCTTTCTCTATATATTTTCTTGGAGTAGCGTTTACCACGTCAGGCCTTATGTTTAAATTTTTAAATATAACTTAGGTTGATTCTTGTATAACGGGCAAGATAGGGGTCCATTTTCTTTCTTTCAGTACTTCTGGTGTAAATTCTTGAATCGTGCCCCAGACCAGCTGAATCGAGATCTCTGGAGATAGGCCCGGTAGTCTGCCTGGCTTTTCACAAATGCTTGGTGATTCCAATATTAGCTGAAGTTTGAGAACCACAGGCTTCAACATAACATTGATTTATTTTTCCTAGATGCAGATTAATGTAGAAAAACCTGTAGCACAGATAAGCAATAACATTATTATAAATCTCTTGTACCCTATAACATTAAAACAATTTTCTTACATGTTCCTTCCTAGGTTTAATTCATTGAAATTAAACTTCATTGATTTGAGCTAGTGAATCTGAGAATTGGTTAGGTGTTCTCAGAGTAGTTTGAATAAAACAAATGTACTTTAAAAATGTGTATTTTCTATGTACACATAAATATTCGATAAAGGCACAAGTGACATATCGTATACACTTTTTGTGTATGTGAAATTTTGTTCCTTTACTTTTATTGGCTTTACCCCCATCTCTTTCCCAAACTGTATTTGATCTTAATACCCTGATACACATTTTCCCATGTACATGTATAGACACACACAACATTAGTTCATTATTTTCAGTGGCTGCCTAAGAGTCTCTAGTGTTAATGTACTATAACTTATCAACTAACCTTTTGGCAAAATATCACACTTTCCAATCACAAGTGCTGCCATAATATCTTTATTATGTGAATATTCATTTTTTTCCCTATAGGACAGATTCCTCCTCTCATCAAGATGTTATAACATTTTGTATTTCCACCAGTGATATATGAAAGAGCATTTATCCATTGATTCTTAATTTTTGGTCAATTTATGAGAACCATTTAAAATATTTTACATATTAACATTTTGTCTATCATTCATATTATACATATTTTCCCAAAATATATTTCTTATCCATTAGATTATTATGTTATCTTTTGATGTATGAGATTTAAATATTTTTATGTAGTCCAAGATACCTACTTCTCTTTCTCCTTTTTTAAAGATTTATTTATTAATTTGAAAGGCAGGGCTGCAGAGAGAGAGGGAGAGAGGGAGAGACAGAGATCTTCCATCTGCTGGTTCGCTCTTCAAATGACCACAATGCCCAGAGCTGGGCTGATCTGAAGCCAGGAGCCAGGAGCTTCTCCTGGTCTCCCATGTGGGTGCAGGGGCCCAAGCACTTGAGCCATTCTCTGTTGCTTTCCCAGGCACATTATCAGGGAGCTGGAATGGAAGTTAAGCAGCCAGGACTCGAACTGGCACCGACATGGGATGCCTGCACTGCAGGTGATGGCTTTACCCGCTGAGCCGCAGCGCCATCCCCAATATGTACCTCTCTTGAAAATAGTTTCTGCTTGGGGCCGGTGCTGTGGCTCAGCGGGTTAATGCCCTGGCCTGAAGCGCATCCCATATGGGCGCCAGTTCTAGTCCCAGCTGCTCCTCTTCCAATCCAGCTCTCTGCTATGGCCTGGGAAAGCAGTAGAAGATGGCCCAACTCCTTGGGCCCCTGCACCTGCATGGGAGACCCAGAGGAAGCTCCTGGCTCCTGGCTTCCGATCAGCACAGCTCCGGCTGTTGTGGCCAATTGGGGAGTGAACCAGCAGATGGAAGACCTTTCTCTCTCTCTCTCTCTCTGCCTCTCTTCTCTCTGTGTAACTCTGACTTTCAAATAAATAAATAAAAAAAATTCAAACAAATCAAAATTAGTTAAAAAAAAAAACAACACTAAATCTCCCAATTCCCTACTCTGAAGCAAATGTGCCAGAGTCTCAAATACTTAAAAAAAATAGTTTCTACTTTTCTGTTCTTGGTTATGAAAGTGTTCCCAACACATATATCATAAATGGAGTCCCCTAGGTTTTCATGGGAGATTTTTATTTTGTTTTTATTTTATATTTAAATCTTATACATGTGGGATTTTTTCCTGTGGGGTTTAATATAAGAGTACAGTTTTATTTTCATCTAAAAATAGTCGTTTGATTTAGCATCAATTATTAGAAGATATTTTTTTCTCAAATTTTTGTCGAAAATTATGATCTTGTATACACCTAGATAAATTTATGGATTATATACTATATTCTGGTGACTGACTTGTTGATTTCTATGCCAGTACCTGATTACTGTGGTTTTATGGATTACTGTGATATCTGTAATACATGTTCTTTCCCACTGTTCTTCTTTTATGTATTTATCAATTCTCAGGCATTTATAGTTCAGTATGTTCTGCAAGATCATTTTACTTATTCTATCTCCCCTCAAAGAAAATCCTGCTGAGAGCTTAATTTAAATCGCATGAAATATATGGAATTGGCATTTTTAAAATATAATTTTCTTATCTAAGAACTTACTGCATTTTTTAGTCTGCTTGATTCTTGTTTTATATTTTCAAGTAAGCATTCATATGCTTATATTTTTACTTGACTGCATATTGTTTTACTTATTTTTCATTTTAATTTATTTTGCTTTGATCAGTTAGTTTTCATACATTTCCCCCTTTATTCATTGTTTTCTTGTACTTTTCCATAGCATTTCCTGCTTTCATAATTGGATGACATAATTTTCACTTATTGTATTTGACAATAAGATACAATAAGGAAGAGTTGATGATAGGTTATGGTTCTGCAGGAAGACCTTTCTTTAAAACACACATGCATGCAGTTTATCATTCCAGTTAATCTAGTCAAGGGCACAATGCCTAAGAGAAGCAAGGTGGGCACCCCAGAGGGCAGCTCAGCATGCCTTAGGTGCTTTCTTCAAATTCTCTTGATCACTTAACCAGATTTGAACTCTGTCCTGGTATCTTACTAAGGCTTGGACAACACTCTAATCCTTGCTG